GGGTAGAAGTTTCCCTTATGCCTATTTGTGGTAACCATTAGTTAGTTTTAATGCCCTATGTGACCATAACCTCTACAGTTTTGATACCAAGATGTTCATATGTCAAATACACTTTTCATAGACGTCATTCAGTGAAGTCTCTGAATGTGAAATGAATACTTCTTCTGATTTACCAACTTCATATTCTTCTTAAGATTCAGCAGCTTAGGGAGGGTTGGGCTGCCCATGTTGGGCTACTTCGAGGGCATGGGCTGTAATGAGCTCAATGGCAGGTCTTATAGTCGAGTAGCATCAAGGGTATAAGAGTCTATAGGAAGAATTTGAGACACTGACCCAAAACAAATATATCACATTTAAGCAGATTATTTATGTGATATCAGGCACGTAAAATTTATATTTTCTTTCGGTACAATCCCTGCTCAATGGTTTTCATATGCTTATGAGATTACAGTGCATCAGCATGATACATCATAACATCTCATTTCTTCTCAGTCATGTTTCTGGTGAAAAAGAAAGATGTTATGAGCATAAGAATGACAGTGCATTAGAATAGAGCTACCAGGAACTATAAGTATACCAGAATCCACTGAATACTATTTTAGAAGCGAAATCCAACTAGAAAGGGTGCCACTGAGTACTGTCTGTTCTGATGTTTGGTATGCATTTTTATGTCTATTTTTTGTGTACTTTGGCTCACTGCCAAATATTCATATTTTGTACAAATACTTGTAGAACTGTACGTGTACAATATGTTGTTAGAAAATCATATCTTAACTTTGTTTTATGACTATATACAACTGATAAAATATTACTCAACCTTGAACCTCTCAGCTCTTGTTTTCAAATAAGTTTCTACCCTGGATCCCTATCAGCTAACAATCCTACCCACTGACTTTTACATATGTCTTTAAAGGACAACTGAAATAGCTATTCTCAACTTGCAGCTACAAAAATGCGGTTTTCTCTATTGTAAGCCCACCGTAGAGTTCTTGCGATAGCCATTATAAAATGAATGTTAGATTACTGCTAACGGTCATAGATAAGGAAATAAAACTAACTGATAAATCAAATTGGCCCCCACGTGATTAGTAACGTCATAAACAAATTATAGCTTTGGTTTATTGGTTCCATAGTAATCACAACGTCACGGCAACCATAGGATTGTTGTGTAAACAAATAACAAAACATTTTGGCATTATGACGTCATGATCTAATGGACCAAAACGGTCCACGTGGGGGCCAGTGAGAGATCACGTGGGGGCCAATAACGTCACAACCAATTCGAATATTGCTTATTAAGCAGCTATAACGATCGTTAGAGTGAAATAGTTTTCACACTGCTGATTAGAAAACATGTCCAAATACATCTATCAAAAAATTATATTGATTCCTTTAGGTTAAAAATACCATTTCATATCTGCTTTAAAGATCTCAATAATCTCTAATGTAGCTGTCATGCAGCTTTTTTATGTGACTCTGAAGAGTATATAGGTCTAAAGTGAAGTAGATTAGTTCAAGGCTACAACAAAGAGGTATCCTTATGATTTTTAAGAGTGTTGACTTAGACATAATGTTGAGAAGTAATATGCTGCTGAACTATTAAAATAACAAACCAGGGCATAGTTGTAAACATAGACATTACGCAGGTTATATATGTGTTTGTTAACACTTGGGGCATTCAACTAAGTGCAATTATACATGTATACAAAAGTATGGCCAAGTTTATCAAAATCGAATATTCTTATATTTTAAAGTCCAATATTTTGATTGCTCTGCTACTGAGAGGAGACTGTGATTGAAGATCAAGCTCATGTATCATTTCCAGTTAACTCTTATAATCCTACCAATGCTACCATCCATTGTTTTTTCAAAAACAAAACAAACATACCAGCTGTCTGATGCTATCAATGGCACGGTTGTAGCGATCACATAGTATCTTCATACGCTCATAACTAAAACAAAATATAAACATACATTAACGTGAAGCCACAAAGTAATATTCATTTCAAGTAGAAATTTGTTATCAAATGTCATAGTGACCTCAGAGGAGTTCATTGTGCAAAAGTTTAGCAAATACGCAGAAGATCAACATCTGATAAACTGTAAACACAAGAAGTGTTTCCTATTGTATTCCATTGCATTTTGGTTACCGCCATATTTTTGTAAGCAGTACCTCATTGGTATATTTATGTATTTTACATTCATAGCCAGGGTTAGAAACCCCACCTTGGCAGAGATGTGTTATTTTAAGTGCATTGGTACACAGACATACAAGTACACACCACAGCTTTTTAAATACGAGTTGTGGCCCACTCATTTAAACACCAAGAATTCCATAACGCAAAAACAAAGTCTGAACTAGAAATCGAATCAGAGTTAGATCAAAGTTGTTAAACTGACAGAGGCAGAATAAGGGCTATTTTGAATAAGGCTCGATACTCACAGTGTAAAAGACTAGCATAAATATGTTCAACTCACCTTTTTGGATCATATTCATTTAAGACATGGTTCTCCATAGCTAGCACCAACTCAGGTACATCCTCACATACCCACCTGTAACATACAATATTAAATGTTGATTTCAATTCAAATAAATTACAATGATATATGTTACTGTATGCACATTGTGCATCTATTCACAATATCTATTCACAATGTGAGTTTTGAGGGAAAAAGTCTAAGAGGGGGTTCACAAAAACTTGGTGCAAAATGTTAGCATGAACATGGTAGAGATCCTACAATACATTCACCTCAATACATTACTGTGTCTAATTATTCAATACAAATCTACTATAGCAGCGAAGCCCGAAGGTTGGCTAATCTACTAATGAAGACTGTATCAGACTGTCATTGCAATATATGACCATAATCTCAGTCTTGATGCAGCTTTCATAATTACTAAATCTTGCAATCAGAAATCAATAGAAAGGTTGTAGAGAGCACAATGAGGCAATAAGTAGACATAAACCAGGTCTATATTGTAACACAATATATTTGAGCTCAAAGTTGGTCACAAGAATCAATACAGGGTCGATAAAGGCCATTATGATACTACCCACGGCATTCTACAGGCCTTTCACGATTTGTTTGTAACAGAGGATCTATCTTTTAAAATTCTTTTAGTTCTTTATCACTAATAAAGCAGTGTGACGCAACTGGGGAAGAAAAGGAGCATAGTCTTTTGAGTTGTTAGGGGCAATATGAGAAATTCTAAAGATGAGTTCTAGATACTATTAAGTTAAACAGCACTTCAGGCTATTTCCCTGGAATTTCTCTTTAACTGGTGATGGCATGTTATATCTACCTCACATATGAAAAGATTCAAACGATTGCTTTTCTGTAGGCTTCATTTTTATAAAAACATCTGACCATTTTCTGACTAATTAGATCTGTATAATTGATGTGAAAATAACCCCTAGTCCTTCCTTACAAGAGCAAGCTCTACTAATATACAGTTTAAGGAAAAATATTGTCTTAATTATAGCTTACAACATCAATGTCATGGCTTAGTGCCAGTATAATCTGCAGAAGAGCATACTTATGGTCTTTAAATTAAAATGAAGCACAATAAGGTATATCATGCTCAGTATCTTATCTGTCTGGTTATGTGGTGCGCTACTAGCATCACTAGTCTTAATAGGGAAAGATGCAGAATTATCCAGAATTCTACACTGGTGTGAGCAATTAATTAAGACTGAAATGAACGTAACAATATTTAGAATTTTTGTCAAGAGTCCAAGTTATTTAGTGTTTTAAAGTGTAAAAACAGAATGTTTATGTCTAGGTTGCTTCTATGAACCAGTAACCTCCCAGTGAAGAAAACTTTTTTTAGTTTTCATCAAATAACAATTTTTATTACTTTTTTCAAATGCAAGGATTGATCAATTTTATTCTTTGACTTGTCTGATGACAAGAGATTCATAGAGAATTATAAACTCGGTAGAAAGGAGTAAATAGGGATTTCTTTGTACGCTGATTGATATTGAGCTAAAAAATCAATATTGCACAGGGGTGTAAGATTGCACGGACTCCAAAGATCTAATGGCAGAACAGATTGATTATTCTTAATGTTATGACTGGACAGATCAGAGAAATTGGTATTCAATCGAAATGTCCATTTCTTGCCAAGAAATAGACATAACACTTATATGTAGCGGAAGTCAACTTGACCTTCTATTTTAACATTCATAGTGGTAATTCACTCTATTTTTATCATGAGTTTACATGGCTGAATCTTCATAGATCATCCGACCAATAAGCCAAACTACATATATATATTATATGTTGGATTATATGGAGCATCACTTTAAAACCTAATGCATAAAGTGATAAGCTGGGTTCATGCTGATAAAATACATCGAACAGGGATTTCGATATTACCATTTGATCAACTGTTTCATTATATATGTGCTCTAATGTGCTTCCTTATATATTTGTTCTATGAATAGTTAGTGGTAGAGTCCTATGAAAATAGGAAGCTGGTATTTTGTAGATCTAGTCGACTTGAACTTTTTCAATGTAATCTGGCTAAAAAATAAGTAGGTCAAACAATTGGTTCATTTTTACTCACCGTATCGTCTCGATGATCTCCGATGCCCCATCCCTAGCATCCTACGAATAGAGAAATAATATTACCAAATGGTGGATTGTAGAGAATATCATAGATCGACGAATAATCGTGAACAAATGAGTTGAATAAAACTCAAAAATATAAAAATGAAACCAAAATCGGTGAACTTACGGTGTGAGGAAGGGGCCATTGATATACCGCTGGTTCTGCTCCAGCTGGACTATGTAGGCGTATTTCCTTAACTTTATCTCCTTCTCCCATAATTTCTGTATAATTTGATTATATCCCTATGTGTGTAATCCACCAGATCGTGGCATTTTTTCACGTTTATAAACTGTATTCTGTAAATTCCTAAACAATCACATCGGCCATGAGGAAGCTGAGGTCACGAGGTGCTAAAGAAGCTTCCTGATTGGCTACCTCGTTTTGGCAAGGAGGGAGGCTAATGGCGGATGTTTTGAAACCAGAACATGATTTTCGAAAGTTTTGGTGAATTTTACCTATTTCAGTACAGTTCTTGGAGAACATATTTGTCAAATAATGAACTTAATTGCTCATCACATATGCAAACCGAGAATATCACTATAGGATATCTTAAATATTTGCCAAAATGGTAAGTACAGGAGCTCGTGTCTTTTTCGCGGATTTTTTGTTTTCAAAATTAGACTCTATTCAACAACTCAGTCATGACATGGGAACAAGAGTTCATCCCCCTCACTATGTATTAGGTAGAAAAAAGACAGGCTCCTATCTCGGGAAATCTAAGCCTCTACTCTAATTGCTCATCTCCGTCACTGATTATTTTTAGTACTCCTTGTTGCGTGTTAAAAAAGCCAATAAATATTTGTTTGTTCATTTTACGAGAGCTAAATAAAATGCGAACATCCGAGCATCGAACAAATATTTCATTTCACACATGTTCGGTAATATAACGCACATGCTATCTATTGCAAGACTTATGCCTGGCACAACCGTCGCCATGTTATTAAGTGTTTTTAAGTTTTGCAAGGATCCTGCCATGACCGTGGTATTGTTATCGTGAAAGCCTTATATAACCGTGACAATGCTATATTATATTGCAAGTCCTGTCATGACCATGGTAATGTTAAAGCCTTATATGGCTGTGGCAATGGTTGTAAGGCCTGTCATGACCGTGGTAATGTTCAAGCCTGATATTACTTAAAAACATGGAGACGGTTGTGCCAAGCATAAGTCTTGCAACAAATAGGGTCTCATATAACGTATCATAACTTCAGGAAATGACAAGCCATTCGGAAAATTTTTGGGAATATTTTCAGTTCGTTTACATTTCTTGTATAACTATATTAACTGTACTTATTGTTGATCGGATGGAAAGATAAGCTGATGTAGTTACATTGGAGTTCGTTTACTACCATTTTGAAGGCACTCGAGGGTCCCATTTATCAGGTAACACTTGTATGTCGAAGTTAAGTTCTTGCCTTTTTTAACACGCAACAAGGAGCCATGCATTTTCCCATGCCAGGACTATAGTCCTGAGAAGGTCTCAATCTTTTGCCTGTACGATTACAACATGGGAGAATTTTCTACGCCTCTTACACTTAAAGGAATTCTAGTCGATATTAAATAACAAAATATTGCTTCTGGGACAAGATCAAACGACTTTTACATATTCTTTACCCTACCTATTTTGTAACAATCAACACAAGTATACATACAATGTACCACATTTCAGCAGATATCGAATAAATTCATAATAATATTTTTTGATTGATAAAACCATAGATTATAAACCGGAAGTGCATTCTGTGTCGTCCGCGTGTGAATATTTCAATTCAGATTTTGCCGTGGATTCGATCTTAAATGCTTCTAAATGATCTTCAATGCTTACTATGATTTCTATTAGTAATTGGCTCACACAGTGAGCCTTTGGGATTGACCAGGCGTCCGTTGGACCGTCCATCCTTTGGTCCGTCTGGTCCGTCCGTCCGTCAACATTGGCCGCACAAATTAAAACTGCTATTCGGATTGAGTCATATCCACATTCATTTTATGCATATCCATAATGCCTATTTGACCTATCATCGCCATTTCCCAAGAAATTGCTGATTTTGACATCAAAAAGTCAAATTTTCTGTAAATACTAGACACTTTGTTGAAGTAGAACTTTCAAATAACTTGTAGTAGTTGCTGTATATGCAACTTACATGTCCTCTGAAGATTTCAAAGCTCTTGAAATTACAGTTTTTGGTGTTTGCTCTATAAAATTTGACAAAAAGTAGGACTTTGTCATTTTCAGGGAACTTTCTAATGTACAAAGTCAACATTGGCCGCACAAATTAAAACTGCTATTCGGATTGAGTCACATCCACATTCATTTTATGCATATCCACTACACTATGTGAGCACAGGACTGTGAGTCCTTTATGTTTTGACTTCCCTGCTTCATAAAAAAGAACATTATCACCATTTACTCGACACGAAAATTCAATTTCGGTCTGTCATAATAAAGATGAGCTGAAAGTTGGCATGAACATTTATCTGAAACATACAATAATCTTATATCTAAAATATTAATGTATTTTCATATAATATCGGATGGTGATCCTTTGATTCCATATCTTTAGGTTTGATTGATGCACAGAAAAAATGATAAAGAGTATACATTTATATGATGTTTGCTACAGATGATGTCAGTACAAATGTTTGATCCAAAGCTGTCTTAGACAAATAATTCCCTTTTTGTAATTCCAGAGAAGAAGTATGGCCCCTAGTCAGATGGGGAAGAGAAAGCTGACTGATCCTGAATGGACACCAAACTGCCAAGTATGTGATTTGTTGAAAAATATGAATATAGTATAAGTTCATTTTAATATCTGTCTGTAGGTCAAGATTTGTATATACCTGGTATATATAAGAAAATCAACTACTGAAAATGATATTCAGCACTTAACATGCTTATTATATTTTTGGGGTCATTCAACTTGGATTCCACAAATAAAAAAAAACGTCGCGATACCCTATTTGAATAATGGTTTTGAATTTTTTCCCAAATGTTTTATTCCATACCCACTTATTGTCATTTTGCATGTTACATACAATTTGCACAATCTAACAATGATAAATAAATTATGGCCTGTTTGCAGAAAGCCAAGAAGCCAGTGGATGATGAAGTACCATTATCAAGTCAGTACATGTCACCATTTAGAAAGCCCTTGTCAGCTGTAATCAATAGACCTAGTACACCAGATCATGGATCCCATGTAAGTAGTCAATAGACCGAGTACACCAGATCATGGGTCCCATGTAAGTAGTCAATAGACCGAGTACACCAGATCATGGATCCCATGTAAGTAGTCAATAGACCGAGTACACCAGATCATGCCTCCCATGTAAGTAGTCAATAGACCTAGTTCACCAGATCATGCCTCCCATGTAAGTAAGTCAATAGACCTAGTACACCAGATCATGCCTCCCATGTAAGTAAGTCAATAGACCTAGTACACCAGATCATGCCTCCCATGTAAGTAGTCAATAGATCTAGTACACCAGATCATGCCTCCCATGTAAGTAGTCAATAGACCTAGTACACCAGATCATGCCTCCCATGTAAGTAGTCAATAGACCTAGTACACCAGATCATGCCTCCCATGTAAGTAAGTCAATAGACCTAGTACACCAGATCATGCCTCCCATGTAAGTAGTCAATAGACCTAGTACACCAGATCATGCCTCCCATGTAAGTAGTCAATAGACCTAGTACACCAGATCATGCCTCCCATGTAAGTAGTCAATAGACCTAGTACACCAGATCATGCCTCCCATGTAAGTAGTCAATAGACCTAGTACACCAGATCATGCCTCCCATGTAAGTAAGTCAATAGACCTAGTACACCAGATCATGCCTCCCATGTAAGTAGTCAATAGACCGAGTACACCAGATCATGCCTCCCATGTAAGTAGTCAATAGACAGAGTACACCAGATCATGCCTTTCATGTAAGTAAGTCAATAGACCTAGTACACCAGATCATGCCTCCCATGTAAGTAAGTCAATAGACCTAGTACACCAGATCATGCCTCCCATGTAAGTAGTCAATAGACCTAGTACACCAGATCATGCCTCCCATGTAAGTAGTCAATAGACCTAGTACACCATATCATGCCTCCCATGTAAGTAAGTCAATAGACCTAGTACACCAGATCATGCCTCCCATGTAAGTAAGTCAATAGACCTAGTACACCAGATCATGCCTCCCATGTAAGTAAGTCAATAGACCTAGTACACCAGATCATGCCTCCCATGTAAGTAGTCAATAGACCTAGTACACCAAATGCCTCCAATGTAAGTAGTCAATAGACCTAGTACACCAGATCATGCCTCCCATGTAAGTAGTCAATAGACCTTGTACACCAGATCATGCCTCCCATGTAAGAAGTCAATAGACCTAGTACACCAGATCATGCCTCCAATGTAAGTAATCAATAGACCTAGTACACCAGATCATGCCTCCCATGTAAGTAGTCAATAGACTGAGTACACCAGATCATGCCTCCCATGTAAGTAGTCAATAGACCTAGTACACCAGATCATGCCTCCCATGTAAGTAGTCAATAGACCGAGTACACCAGATCATGCCTCCCATGTAAGTAGTCAATAGACAGAGTACACCAGATCATGCCTCCCATGTAAGTAGTCAATAGACCTAGTACACCAGATCATGCCTCCCATGTAAGTAAGTCAATAGACCTAGTACACCAGATCATGCCTCCCATGTAAGTAGTCAATAGACCTAGTACACCAGATCATGCCTCCCATGTAAGTAGTCAATAGACCTAGTACAGCAGATCATGCCTCCCATGTAAGTAGTCAATAGACCTAGTACACCAGATCATTCCTCCCATGTAAGTGTCACTCCTTGTTTGTATACAGTTTTATGTAGAAGAAGTAAAATTAGACTCTGGAAAAAAGACTTTGGACTCCAGAAAAGCTATAAGACTCTGGAGCAGGAGGGTCTAAAGACATTAGACTCGAGAGAATCTTTGGAGTCTAAAAGCCTAGTGAGAACCATGCATATATAAAATGATGAACATGTACATTTACTGTAACCTAAATGTCAAATGTTTTTGATAGTTTTAAAACATATCTGTCAAAACTGTCAGACTTCTTTCAAGTTTATCCACTATAGTTTGTGAGTTTCTTTATTTGTTCCTTAGTGCCATCTTTTAATAGATTTGTTGATATCTAAGCTAAGTTCATTGTTTAACAGGTGCTTGTAACACTTTTTCAGGAAGCATTAATCAAAAAGATATTGTCCAGGCCATTTAAGGTTCCCATACCCAATTATAAAGGTAAGTGAAATATTAGTTAATACAGACATCTTCAGAGAAACACTCTGATAAATAAGAATATAAGTTTTGAAACTACTTGGTTTTAAGTTATATGTATCGATAGGAACACATTATTGTAGAATTAATTTTATAGCTAATCTGCTCTGAAGAGGAAAGAAGTTTACCAATTTTTATGTCACCACCACAAGTCAAGTGTTTACATATTTTTACAGTCTTCAACTTTTTTGTGGACGATGGCATTTGTGTTCAGAGCTCGGTGTCTGTAACAAATGGCAGGTGGTGCATTTTGCATGTTAATTCCTTGATCTATAATTGATTGACTTGCTGAAAGTTGGATTAAGGTTTGTTTATTTGTATCAATAGGACAGTTGGGTAGCAGAGCTTTAGGTCTAAGGAAACAAGGAGTAAGGAAGGCTCTGCATGACCCATTTGAAGAAGGTGCCTTAGTCCTGTATACTCCCCCTGAGCTCAAGGCCCATGACCAGTTGAAAGTTGACCTGTAAGTTCATTAAGCTTAGAGTCAATGATAAGTATGAGGAAATTTGAGAGTAACCCAAGTCAATTTTATCAAATTCAATTTCAAGTCATTTTCCAGTATTTTTCTATCTTTGATTGAAGCCTTATATTGTAAATATAATCTGAGTAGGAGTAATATATGTATAATGTTTTCATTTAAAGGGAAAAGCAGCCAGTACATGTAGTTGTGGACCCAATCTTGTCTCGTGTGCTAAGACCTCATCAGCGAGAGGGGGTGAAGTTCATGTACGATTGTGTCACAGGCCTGCAGATTGAGAATAATTTTGGCTGCATCATGGCTGATGAAATGGTAGCCAAAATAGGGTTATATTCATTCTTTAGTCTAGCAAAGTAATCTCTACAGTACTTGTATGTTGTATATGTAGATGAAACCCTCAATTGTAAAATTGGCAAAAAGTCTGTTACTAGATGATTGAGTCAAACATGCATGCCACATAAATTCAAGAAAATGTTTTGAATTCAGGAGAATTACAATGATACTACTCTCAGGATATGGTCGGCAATTAAGGCAATTATTTCAGCCAAAAATACTTCATCTAACTAACACTGTCAAAAGTATTTTCATCTTGCCACATGTCAAGTGATGTCATCAAGCAGATTGTGGCAAAATAACATGGCAGAGATATCATTTGTGACATGTACAAAAATATTTTGATGCTTGGGATAACTTTTTTTTTTAGTTTATATTTGATTTAAAATCTAAGTTGACTATTTCAAAGAGGGTATATTAAAAATCCAAATTCTATCTTATCATTTTTTGATTTCATCAAAATACATGTACCACTTATTTTTCAAACAAAATGTAAAAGCCTTTGATGTAAAAGCCATCTATTTGATATTTCCAAAGCGCTTTCAAATGGCCAAATATTACACCTAAAAACCCTGTGGTGTGACAAACAGGTAGAATAATTCAGTGGAATGCATATGTAATTATGATTGAATAGGTACTGATTTATTTCTTATTTCATTTGCTTATATTGTACTCATCCTCTGAATGCAGAACTAGATATTCAAGATCCAGAATTAAGTAAAACATGTCAGTAATATCCAGTAATATTTACATATTTTTATCTTTCAGGGGCTTGGTAAAACTTTACAATGTATTACTCTTTTATGGACTTTACTGGTGAGTATTACAGAATGCAAAATGAATTATATACTTACAAGTAATATTGTCCTTGAGACCTGCAAAGATTATTACACTTTGCATTTACATTGGTTCCATAACTGTGTACCCTTTTCTTCAAATTAACCAATATATGCTAAAACTTCAACCATGAAAATATCTTCACCATTGTGCTCCATTTGGGCATTGGCAATATAAAAACCTGCATGCATTTCGCCAATAGAATGAAATGTTGTATAATACTATTGTTTCATTCAATAGAATGGAATATTTAGAGGTTATGGCACTATGACGTGAAATATGCCTGAGTTCTCCCAGTACAGGCCGACCATGGGAGGCTGTATATTTGGGCAAGAATGAAGGCATATCTCACGTCATAGTGACATAACTGATGTATTACATACCCTTATTCCCATGGCTATCCTTGCTACATGTACAATATGAACTAGAGAAACGCATGCGCAAATTGCAATTACAAATAAGTTATATATATATAAAAGATGTCGCTTACATTAAAATTCATTTATTACATAAATATACATTGTCATGGTTATTTAAGAATCTAATATCAAAATGAGGTAAGGGGGCTATATCGGGGTAATCGGGCAAAAACGGTGGACATAGCCTGCTAACTTTCCCATTGACATCAATACAGATGCTTCGCTAGGTATGCAATACTGTTCAATATTATTGTTACAGTAATGCTTATCACAATTGTTTATTCCAGAAACAAAGTCCAGAGTGTAAACCTCTGATAGAAAAAGCCATTGTAGTGGCTCCTAGCAGTCTAGTCAAGGTAAGGCCCATATAGAAAAAGCCATTGTAGTGGCTCCTAGCAGTCTAGTCAAGGTAAGGCTCTTATAGAGAAAGTATGTTCAGTGTTCCTCTTACACACGTCTGACATAATCATACCAAATTTTACAATTGCATTTATTATGTATAGTGGCTTCAATAGATGAGCAATATGTTAAGATGGTTATTCACTTGTAAAAGATGACTTCATACTATAGCATAGGAGCAATGTTTTGACTTGGGTTTTGAAAAACGAAGACTTTAGTAAAAAATAAAATAACTTTCATACACAACTTATAGATGGATATGATGAATTATACCCTATTATGACATTTTGTGTATTTTTAACGCTGTTTGTTGTTTGTTGTAGAATTGGTACAATGAAATAAGCAAGTGGTTAGGAAACAGAATCTCAGTGCTGGCCATTGACTCTGGATCCAAGAGTGAAATAGACAGAAATTTAAGTGAGCCAGAATTTTAAAAGCAAATACTATTATATTACTGTATTAGAGCAATAAAATGACACTTTGCTATAACTTGATTTTCCATCAAACTAGTTAACATTCTAGAAAATATTCATCATTTGAGTGCAATGCATTTGAAAATTATTCAAGTTCCTGTTTGAGCAATTCAAGTTCCTATTTGAGCAATTGAGGTTCCTATTTGAGTAATTCAAGTTCCTATTTGAGCAATTCAAGTTCTTATTGAAGCAGTGAATTTTATCATTAGCATAGTAGACTTAGTACTACTTGTAACATTTAGATTTAGATAAATTGTTGACTTGATTCATGTGCATAAAATAAATGTGCTTGGTAAAAGGCTATTTCAGTTGAACATTTTTAACAATTAAATTCTTTTCACACATTGCAAAATATTTTCTATAAAATCACCTAAAAGATACAAAATCAATAAAAGAACATATTTTCAATGAAACTTAATGCAAAGTTCAAGTATTGGCAAAACATCTCCTCACCTTAGTAACCATACACAACAAATGCATTTTTGATTATTTCATGCACTGCTGTCACTCAGAAAAACTCTGTTTGGATTGGCTGGAGTCGACACACCTTGCCTAGCCATGTGTGAATATTCTTTAATACCATTATGCTGTGTATGTTTGATTTCAGGTAGCTTTATGCATCAGTCTGGCAGAAGAATACCAAATCCCATTCTGATCATATCATATGAAACATTTCGCTTGCATGCTAGTGTGTTACATAAAGGCACAGTGGGGCTAGTCATGTGCGATGAGGTTAGTAAAAGAGGGAATAAACTTTCAGTAATTTTCTCAATTTTAGAATAATTTCTTATAACTCGTTGATATAGGTACATATGATAAATTCAATGTATTAATCTTACATTAGATTACACATCATTCAAGTCAATCATACATCCTCAAAGATCACCAAAAACACTCAATTTAATATCTGTTGAGTTGACATTTTAGTACAATACTAAAGCAACAGTAAACAAAAAATAAAGTACAGATGTAAATGTATAAATTATTAATATCTTGTTTGTAAGATACTCAAGATAACAATTATATTATGAGCTATTTTGACTTTAACTTACACTCCCATAAATGGATTTTATTTAAAAGAAAATAGAAAATATCATTTAAGTTAAGATTTTCTTTCAGTGGTACCTACATTTTTCTAAGTGCTACAATGAAATTATTTCACTTCTAGTACTTTGTGGATTTGCTATGACCTAATTTGCCTGTGTTGCATCCATAAAGAAAAATAATTTGTTCATTATGTTGCAGGGTCACAGACTGAAGAATTCTGAGAACCAGACTTATGCAGCTCTAACAGCATTACAGACCAAACGTAGAATACTGTTGTCTGGAACCCCTATACAGAATGATCTGCTTGAGTACTTTAGTTTGATACATTTTGTCAACACAGGCATCTTAGGTAAGCTTTAGTATCTGTGATTAAAATTGCTACTTTCAAATACTTCAGAGGGAGAAACTAGAGATTTCTAGCAATGTCCCAAGAAAATAGTCTTACGTTTCTATTAGGATGGGTTCAGGAGCCAAAAACAGTCAATCCATGGATTTTTATCATTTTGAAATCAAAATTCCAAATCATTTCTTTTTCAATGTGTTATGAGAGGAAGTAGATACCCAAAATGAAAACTTAATTAAACATCAGTAAATCTTGGCTTGGAACGCTTACTCAAACATCCAGTATAGTATTATTGGTAGTATTTTTGACCATTTTCAGCTTACATGGGTGAGTTATTGTTATAGTCTATTAATTATTGTGCAGTGATGTGGCCTTTTCAAATTCCACTGAAGACATTAGTTTTTATGTCACCACCAAAAAATGGTGACATATTGTTATGGTCTCAGTTTTTTGTGACATTGGTTTTCAATAAGCTTCTCAAGGTCAATCAAATTGACCATATTTTTTATTCAGAATCATTTTCAAGTTAGAAATTCAAATCTGATATTTAGATTTAAAACTTGACCTTCTCAAGGTAAAAAAGGTCAAAAAGGTATTTTTTCAACTTACCTCAAATTGACCAATTTCTTTTTCAAAATCATCTTCAAGTTCTCAGAAGTTCAAATCTGGTTTATGATTGAACTCATGATATTGTAGCTAGATGGTGACATTTTGTCATGTGAATGCCTTGTTTATTTTTGTTTTCTTGTTTGCATTATTGTATTACATCAAAATTATTATTTTAATTTTTGTGAAATATTATTTCATATAATGTAGGTTTCTCTGAAATTTCTCAGGTGTGACATCCAATGATATCAAATCTGAAGGACATATAGGCTTGCCAAGTTTTTGGGCTGATACGGATAATCCTTGCTTGTACAGATTGAAACATGTTCAATACTGGAGTGTGTCTGTCATTATTACCATGGAAAACCTAGAATAAAATTTAATGCATTAGTATGGTAAATGAATTTTATTAGTCTTATTAGATCTTTGCAGAATGCAACAAAAAGGCTGACTCAGTCTCTGACTGTGTCATAGAATTGCAAAACTATTCTTAGGGATTCCAGTGATCCTCCAGAGAAATTTTCAACCTGGTCATAAATTTTTTTAAGGCTTGCTACACTTACAATACTGAACCAGTCACAGAAATGACAAAAATATGTCACCATAACTTAGAACCATAAAGTCAATATACCAATATGCGATAATGTTTAGTTTTCGTTCAGTTTAGTTAACTCTCGTTTGAAGAGCTCTCATGTATGGTACAACTTCATCTACATCCGGGTTCTTTCCCATTGGATTATACAGGGGTGCTATTTTCAATGCCGCACTGCGACTCTATTAAACATTTATGTAGAGTTGCATTTGCACAAATGATAGGAATGTATGTAATTAAACTATATAACAAGGTTTTTTGAACTGTAATCCCCAAATCCGAAGAAATCTGTAGTTGAAAGTGCCGTCCAATTCCAGTGACATCACTGATTTCCCAGAAATTGCTCAGACTTCATCGAAGATTGAAAAAATATCAATAATGTTACTTTGAATCTCCGATTATCTTTCTGATTATTGAATAAATTGGATCATATAACTATGCTTGATGGCTGATGGAAGATCAGAAGCTGAGAAAGGTTCAGACTCGTTTGGCGGGCCAATGAAAATTTGTCCCTTCCAAAGCGATGCATCATGGGAGATATTTATGTAAATTACCACCTGAACTCTTATCGCGAATAGGAGTATTGTTGTTTCGTGTATTTAACTGTCTTCAATGACAGTAGACTGTGTAACACCAATTAATGCCCATACAAAGCTGTGTGGTTCGTGATGTGGGAACCCATTGCGCAAGTGGAGATATATGTTCTGGAGAGAGGAACTGGTGGTTCGTGACTAAAGAATCGATATTCACATTGTAAGAACCATGTTTTTTCTTCACCATCAGTTTGTTCAGCAATGGGTTGTATTATTAAAGCGTTGATAAACTGTTTTGGAAGTAGATTCAATCAATTTTTTCATCATGTGAATTCAAGTGACTTGTAATACAGTACTTGTAGAATATCACTCATGCATAATACTGTTATTGTGTACAAATGTATGAAGATGCATTATTACATTAGACAATATTACTCTTTATAAAAGTGAACTACTTTCTTACCCTGACCCTGTGTATGCCAAATATCATAAATAGTGTGCCATAGGATTTTTTGTCATCATGTGCATCTTTAAAGTATTAGACTTGAAGCATTCAACTTTTTTCTAAATTTTTATCGGTAAACCTAAAATTGGCAAATACCCATAATTAACTTCCTGTCACTATGTATTGACTGATACAGGTACATTGTATTTTGACATTAACTCACCTCATGGCCGCCTTTATCAAGAACTTTAATAAATGTTGTCCCATGTTGTATATTGTAGGCAACTGTGTAAGATTTCACCCATTGATCAATATTTGCTCTACCTTGTGTTACTATACCATACACCTTCATTACATCACCCAAGTCCGCCTGGATCCATTGGTTCTCATCTAATACTTTAGCAACCCAGGCCTGAGGTCCTCTGTACAATAAGATATTTATTTTGAATACTAAGGCATGTAAGGGCAAACCAGCAACAGTTTAGTTAGGTTAGTATTATGCTGGCTAACATACAATATAAAAATACTTAAATAAGGGAAGACTGACTATTTTCACTTACTCAAATCTTGCATTGCTGGCTACAAATGAGTCAGAATGGTCTGTTGCTGAACATGTGTTGGTTTCGGTGTGTGAAAGACTGAATGAGTGATAAGTATTTCATTATTACTCACCCTAGTCTTGCATATGCAGCTGATTCTGTTGAATGGTATTCTGTTGAAGCTGTCAGGCTAGAGTCAGGAATTCTGTGGTGTTCTCCACTCACAAGAAATTCACCGATGCATTCATCTATATAATGTAGTCCAGGGAGTGTTAGAGCTAATACTTTCAAAATCATGCATATGTTTTCATAAGAATCCTTATTCACTTTTATGAAAAGGGTGTTAGATATTACTGATTCATTGACATATTCTCTGGTGTGGTGTCATACCCTTTTAAAGCCTGAGTAATTAAGAGAGGTTTAAAGACCAAACTAGTCAAGTCCCTTAAGCCTATATCTTCATGATGATGTTTAAGGTCCCAAAAAACACTGTATAGCTTTTGACTGTTTAATGAATGTTGACACTACTATAAAGTGATATTAATGTGTTTATGTGCAAATAGAGCAGGGTTGTTTTAAAATCACTACCTGCTTGTCCAGGGAAAGCTACTTTGTTGAGTCTTTCTATATCTTTCTTCATTGCAGACACATTATCTTCTAAATCTTGGAGACATGATGTGCTAGTAACTACTGAAACTGGAGAAAACATACATGTTGTGAAATTTTTATTGCAGTTACATTTAAATCATTAAGTACTATTTCATATGAAGTAAAAATTCAAGGGGCAACAGGCAACACCCAGTGTAAACTTAATATTTTACACAATTGATGAATGTTCTAGTTTCATTCTGACAAACCAACAGAAAAGAGGTTTATCATAAATTTATTTATTTATTGATTTATTTGCCAACACTTTTATAACAGTGGCACATGGATTATTATCCAGTGCGGCTACATACAACTAAACAATATGAATAAAATACAAAATCATGTATAATTTCTTTAAAACAATGTTGCATATACTAAAAAAATCAAAGACATAAATCTATGGGCTTGTACAATTGGATTAAAAATCATTTTTACAATGCTATCAAATAATCTAAAATAGTCTTGCCCCCACTTTGAAAAAATCTCATCACCAAGCATAAAGGTCAATTTTTCAGTCAGATTACCCTTAATGAAGTCAGAAAATAAATCGGAGAGACATTGCTTACAAACAGTGTGGAAAAAAGATTCATGTTCACACAGCAGCAACCAACCAATGCAGTAAGTCTTCATGTTCATTCTAACTACAAAGTTTACATTTGCCATCACTTTTGCCCCATACAGAGTAATAGGATTCAAGGCAAAAATTGTTGGTTCTTGCAAGAAATTTGAGTCTAGAACCATAAAAATCAAGTCTTGTTCTAGATAATTTTCTTGGTATGGATGGTTCTTAAAGGTGGAATAAGTATTTAGAGATTTATAATGGGATATGTCATCAATAAAATTAGTGGTCATTCCTGTCTACAAATGCCTTCATAGGTACTGTACCAATCACAGTCATCTCGAAAAAGAAAAATGATTTGTCTTGATGATCATCTCGAAAAATGATTTGTCACTGTAGTAGCTGTATGGGTTGTGCAATCACTTACCTCTTACATGTTCTTTCTTTCCTTCTCTTAAATGAAAATAATGATTTGGGGTATTCTTAAGTTAACAATAACACAATAGTTTTCTGGTAAACCATAGATGCTAATACCTGTTGTCAACTAAATATGATTTTATAATGTAAGTGCAATCAACGTGTTCATTAAAGCTTTGAAATAAAGAAAACTTGAAAAAGTTGACAAGTGTATATTTAAGAAGAGGGGATCATATCAAACATTGACTAGTTTAATGCATTAACTTTGTGGTTTGCACCTATAAACTTTACATCAGAGAGATAAGTGACTGAACTATGCTCAGTAAAATTCTGGTGCATTTCAGAGGAAAAATAAAGGTTTTGCGTTCAATTAACAAATGTTCCAATTTTTTTGCTTTGAAAACTCCTGCCAATGTGATGTGCATCGTTACATGGTTACATGTTATATGCTTACATGGTGATTTCATGATGTTACAAATATGGAAATGATTAATGTTTTGGCTATAGTCCAAATGGCAAAATAAACCTGAATGTTGTTTTGAAATGCTTTGTGAGGTAAACTATGGGATAAATAGAACATCCTATGATTTTCCGTGATATCATTTTAATCCACTCGTTGATAACAATATCTGCACTCATTTGCTACGCTCACTCATCTAGATACTGATACTCGTGGATAAAAATGATATCTCAAAATCATAGGATATCCTATACATATGGTATCTTAAATAGCTTACTTGGTACTGCCACAAAGGCAAGGATCCACATCTCAATGCTGTTCATGTTTTTTTGTTACTAGAACTCGTCTCAGTCAGGTGTGCTCTGGTGATGCATCTCACTGTGATGATATTTAACTATGTTTATACTTTTAATATCATATGTGGATGTCTCCTCATGCAAATGATATCTGCAGTTGTTGTTGAGTCATGTTAGATGTGCTTCTGTCTGAATTGTTGTTTGAAGTCTTTTGTATTTCAAAGGGCATCCAGGAGCAATAGCTTATGTCTGGCCACAACAATATATTTTTGATGTATCACGATGATTTGAATTTCATGTAAAATGATTTGTCATGTTAAATGACGTATGGCAAGCATGTTTATTATATTTCAATTCTATGCTATGAGTTTCTACCTTGGAGTGTGTTCATGAAGTATCCAGGTCAGTCAAAACTGGTGTTTGTAAGCAGTTGTTTGCTGATACAATATGGAATCATTTGTAGTTTGCCATAACATGCTCTGCATTATTCACACTATATAATTCATGTTGTCTTTGTGATTCTAGGTACAGCTAATGAGTTCAAGAGAAAGTTTGAAGTTCCTATATTGAGGGGTAGAGATGCAGGAGCCTCAGACAGTGAACACAAAAAGGGACAGGAGAAACTTTTGGAGGTAATATTAAGAAAATATTTGAACACTTCAAATTCAGCATGAAGGTAGTCATTTGTCAGTTTGTCAGTAGTCCTGCCCCAGAAATAACAGCAGTTCTCTGAAAAAGTTAATTTTATGTTAGTGGGAAAATACTTATATTCATGTGTATTCATGTGTTTATAGTTTTCATGTTTTTAATAAGCATTGTGCTTTGAAATATACAAGTTCTAAGTAATGACTCAATGACTTAGAATGACCAGTCTCGACTGCATTAGTATCTGCATTTTTGGCCTCAAAAAATGCAAAATGTCAACCTCTTTTAACAAAGTATGTATGTTTTATCAAGTGTTGGGTTTTCAGCTCAGCTTTCATAGAAGATAGAGATATTCCATTTATTAAAGCACTCCTCATATGAGCCAAAATTTATACTCTGTAATGTATTCCAGTTAGCTGCAATAGTAAACAAGTGTATCATCAGGAGAACCCAGGCTCTACTCACCAAGTATCTACCTGTGAAAAGTAAGTGCATGACAACCCATTGAAAGTTTTTATTAGCAATGCTTTTTTTTATAATTATTAAACATGTACATCATCCTAATACACAGCTACTAATAGTTCAAGGTCCATTAACGCTTTTTACTCTTCCTGGTCTGTTATGATTCTATTGCTCTTAATTTGATTGGACATTGCAAATCACAAATGCCAAAAACAGTAACCCGAACCCCCAACAACAAACAACATATTTTCTGAGATACATATCAAGTTGATCAAGCCTTCTTATTACTCATAGATCATGTCGCTATAGTATTATTTTCTTTCAGTTGAACAGATCGTGAACTGTAGATTGACCCCCTTGCAAAGCACCCTCTATAAACAGTATGTGCAATCTAAGGTGGCAGAGTTAGAAATAAGGAGCAATGGCAAAGTCACAGCATCTTCTCTCTCTGCCATTACACAACTGAAGAAACTGTGCAATCGTAAGTAGTTTCCCTTGTGTATTGGTTGTGGTAGGATACAAGCTAATGTTGACCTCTATTCTCCATGATGAAAGTACAATCCTTAGAATTTTTCCTAAGAGATTAATGAATGTATCTGCAGTGAACAAGAATTGAAAAATATTTACATAGGAGCATATTCAACATTCTTATCTTATAAATTGTTTATTTGTATCACCATATATTCTTTCTAGATCCAGATCTGATTTATGAGAAGTGTGTTGAAGGCAGTGGTGGTTTTAATGGGGGCTTAGACATGTTCCCAACAAAGTATGATCCCAAGAAACTGCAACCTGAGCTTTCAGGTAAACTTGATGATTATGTAAGAATACTAGAGCATGGGTTCCTGTACATCTGTTAACATGTAAAATTAAATGTTTACAAGATGTTAACAAATCCCTTAACAACATAACTAATAACCCAGCATTACAATAAGAAATAAGAAACACTTTCCAATTGGCAATTACCCTGATTTTGCTCACCATTTCTGAACTGTTTTCACTATCCAAAACTCCATTACATTCTACTAATATTATGATGAAGTCATTACAAATCATGTTGAAGAAAATAGAGGCCAAAAGATTCACAAATAATATGACATTAATTTGATTGCAATATGTTTATACAGGATAAAAACTCAAAAATGTTGACTGCCACCATATGATATACTTTTGTGGTGCTTATCTTCTTGTCTTCTTTTCTGAATCCCTTACAGGTAAGTTCACAGTATTAGACTTCATCCTAGCCACTGTGAAGGCAACCACAGATGACAAAGTTGTACTTGTGTCAAACTACACACAAACACTGGACTTATTTGAAAAACTCTGCAGATATAGAGGGTAAGATTAAGATTGAGGATGATATTTTCAGCTTCAATTATGTCAAAACGCAGCATTTTGATATCCTGATACTTAATACTCCACACTTTAAGACTAGTTGTTAAAGAGTGGAGTGTGAAACCATTATGATGCAAGACAACACTTTACTTTCATAATTTATACATTATTGGTGAGGGCATTATGCATAACCTTTGCTATTCGTACTCAACCCATTTAAAAGAACATTAAAACGTGTCATGCATGTCTCTTTTAGAAGTGTTCAACTGGAGACTGTACTGTAATACATGCAGTTGCATACTGTGCTGTAATACATGCAGTTGCATACTGTACTGTACTGAATAAACCACCTATTGGTATTATACAGAGTTTGTGAAAAATAAAATGGCATGAGCTGTGAAATCAATAATCATACTATGTACTTTACATTTTAGGTACATCTTTGTAAGGTTGGATGGTTCAATGTCAATTAAGAAGAGAGCTAAAGTTGTAGAAAAGTTCAATGATCCCTGTGTGAGTATCCACATGTAAATCTATATCATTGTGTAATTTGCCGTTGTAAGAGTAAAAACTTCCCATTGTTGACTGGTATTATTATCTACTAGTGGATAACACCATATTATATCCACTTATATCCTCATTTTGTGGCAACCAATGTATGTTGCATCACATTACCATATTTTGCAATCCATTTAACTTTTTGTTATTGTTCCAGTCCCCAGAGTTCATTTTCATGCTGAGTAGTAAGGCAGGTGGCTGTGGTTTGAATCTGATTGGTGCAAACAGACTTGTCATGTTTGATCCTGACTGGAACCCAGCCAATGATGAGCAAGCTATGGCTAGAGTGTGGCGTGATGGGCAGAAGAAGCAGTGCTACATATATAGGCTTATTGCTGTGAGTAGTTTTTCCTGTTATGGTTAACATGATAATTTTTGTCTAATTCGCATTGTGCTTGGAGATCAGCGAATTAATCTGGGGTGCTTTAAATTTATGAATTTGTAAGTCTATTGTTCTTTAAATATGGTGTCACCATTTCCATGGTAATGACAATATATGAATATTCACTACTAAAAATGGTACATGAATGCACCCCTTAATCTCAAACTTGTAAAACATATTCCACTACATAATATCATTTACTATACATGATTTCAGACTGGTACAATAGAGGAAAAGATTCTCCAGAGACAGGCTCACAAGAAGGCACTCAGTAGTTGTGTAGTGGACAATGAAGAAGATGTAGAGAGACACTTCACTCTGGGGGATCTTAAAGAACTCTTCCAGCTACATGAACAAACCAGCAGTGATACACATGATAAGTAGGTCTTACATTATACACTGGCAAATATATTCTTTGTAAATATTCAGTACAAATCCATCTGTTTTTGTAATAATTAATGTATCCACCAACATAAATGTATAACTATTTAGTTAAACAAAAATGGATGATCATTCCAAGTTAAGTTTTAAACTTAATGTTAGCTTGCACTTTTAGGCCGACTACATTTAAATTATAACATGATGACTGGCATTTCCATCTTACTATATGCTGTTAACAATGCCCTCTTTACATGAATAAGTTATATTTTCAGGTTCAAATGTCAGAGATGTGTGAACAATATCCAAGTGCGGCCTCCGCCACCAGATAGTGACTGTGCAAGTAATCTATCCCATTGGAACCACAACACAGATAAGAAAGGACTTGTGGATGTGGTACTGAAAGGTGCATGGGAAACAAAAGCTATATCATTTGTGTTTCATCACAGATCTCACGAAAAGCAAAAACAAACAGCATAATCATGTCTTCTTCAGCAATTTTAATGACAAGTGACCTTTTATAGTGTGTGCATTAAGCAGCTATGGTGCTTACACAGGTGGTATTGACCAGGCAGATTTAAAGACAAGCTATGTTACGACCAAGGTCCAAATTACCCAGGACCATTTAATACATGTAAAGGGATGTTATGACCATATTGTGGGGTAGAGGAATATGTGCATGTTTCAAAGACCTCTTGTAACCATTGAACATTTCTGAACAAAGCGTGTATTTATCCTTCACTCCTCAAGTAGAGAAAAATGACTTATTCAATTTTTTTTATTTTTGAAAGTCTGCAAACACTGCAAATATTAATGATTCAAGGTGTGTAATAGTGACTTATATGTAGCCACATTTACTTTGGGCCTGATTGTAATGTTTAACTAATAACAAATAAATCCTTGTAGTTTTACTTTTGTAAATTAATTTAATATTCATTGTACTTCTAGTTACTGGATGAGCGTGGTGTAAAAGTGGATTTGAAAAGTAGCAAATTTCTCTTCATGTAGGTTATTTGTGGTTTATTATTATACATTGATTCTGAAATCATTGGTGTCTAGTTTTTCAGCGTTTTGGAAATATTCAGATTTATACCCCCCTGGTGTAATTTTAAGGGGGGTACTTGGAAAGCCATATATCATTCCTAGAATATAGAGCCAATCATCTTGATTTTTCCAGGTAATCATGTACTTATCATGTCCTACCATTATGACAAGTTTCATTAAAGTTGATTGACTGGTTGCTATGGAAATGGAGATCATATGTTAAAAAGTACACATTTTCGTCAAAATGTAAGATACCCCATGAGACAAAACACATATTTTTTTCATGAAATTGGAAGGAATCACCATGAAACCATTTTAGAAAACTTATACAAAGTATATTTGATAATATTAAATCAACTATTGTTTTATCTTATCCACACAGTGGAATCTATTGCTGATGATTATATGGCAATGCAAGTAAATTTAGAAAGGGGATGTGGCACTTTTCCAAAGAATTCTTTATTTGTGTTCAACTTTTTGAAGAAAATAAGAAACCATTTGTCTTGAAATTAACAGATATTATTCACATCATTATGTTTGACTATCATAGAAAATTTCATCAGTGTTGGATCACTGGTTACTATGGTAAACAGATTTATACCCCATTGGTATTACTTTGAGGGGGGTACAATGAAAGCCATCTATAATTCCTAGAATATACAGCCATTCATCTTGATATTTACAGGTAATCATCTACTTATGATGCACTACCACTATGACAAGTTTCATTAATGTTTAACACTTGGTAGCTATGGTAACATAAATAATTTATTAAAAATACACATTAAGGAAATACTATGTATAATTCCTAGAATATTCAATTAATCATCTTGATATTTATGGGTAATCATCTGCTTATCATGTCTTACCAGTATGACAAGTGCCATCAATGTTGGTCAATTGGTTGCTATGGTAACAGAAATCATTTCTTTAAAATTGCACATCAACAGGGTACTATGTATAATTCCCAATTGACATTAAGCACATAATATGTTCATCATTTTGGGAGAAATAAGCATGGAAACATTTCATAAAACTTATCACATCTCATCAATCACAACAGTGGACGCTTTATTGCCATCACTGGTCATCAACGGACATGTTTTACACTCAGAGTAATACATGCTGTTGTTCTCAACTTTTTCATGTCTGCTGTTTTTTTTCAACTGTTCATTGTTTTTAGAATTCATTAAGAAGCATTTCCAGTATTTTTAATTGGGTGTAATAGTTGTATATATCTCTTAGTTTGTTTATTACAAGTGACGTGGTAACTTGTTGATGGCAAAATAGAGCCAAATTGGCCAAACCAACCCATTCCACTTGATGATCTCATAGACATATAGTCACATAAAGATTGCAACGGATGCTTTGACAGAAGTAGACATTGAAAGATCTATGAATGAGGATTTTGATGCCATTTGCCCCGCATTTATGAACTTTGTCATAGTGGAAGAACATGGTGAGTAGATAACTACCTGTCAATAACAAGATGATTGGTTAGATATTCTAGGAATTATATATGGCTTTCATAGTGCCTCCCTCAATGTGTACTTTTGAAAAAATGATGTATGTTTCCATAGCAACCAATTGATACACATTGATGAAAATTGTCATGGTTGTAAGACATGATATGTAGACGATTACCTGTAAATATCAAGATGATTGGCTGTATATTCTAGGAATTATAGATGGCTTTCATTGTACCCCCATTAAAAATCATACCAAGGGGTATACATCTGCATACTATAGTAACCAGTAAACCAACACTGATGAAACTTTCCATGATAGTCAAACATAATGATGTGAATAATATCTGTAAATAACAGGACAATTGGTTATTTATTTTCTTCAAAAATTTGGACACAAGTTAAGAATTCTTTGGAAAAGTGCCACATCTCCTTTCTAAATTAATTTGTATTGCTATATAATCATGAGCAATAGATTTCACTGTGTGGATACGATAAAACAGCAGTTGATTTAATATTATCAACCACACTATGAATAAGTTTTCTAAAATGTTTTCATGGTGTTGCTTCCCAATTTCATGAAAATAATATGTGTTTTGTCTCATGGGGTGTCTTACATTTTGACGAAATTGTGTACTTTTTGACATATGATCTCCGTTTCCATAGCAACCACTTGACTTACTTTGATGAAACTTATTACTTTTGTAGGACATGATAAGTACATGATTACCTGTAAATATCAAAATGATTGGTTGTAAAATCTAGGAATTTTACATGGCCTTCCTAGTACCCCCCTCAAAATCAAACAAGGGGGGTATAAATCTGAATATTTCCAAAACGCTGAAAAACTAGACACCAGTATTTTCAGAATCAATGTAGAATCATAAACCACAAGTTACCTACATAAAGAGAAATTTGCTATTTTTCAAAACCACTTTTACACCACGCTCATCCAGTAAGTGTATTTGTGTTTTTCAGAAAAGTTTATTTGTCCAAAAAATAGAAAGCAAAATATTCGGTCATCTATAGTTGAATCGTTTTAATATTCAAACTTACACTCATCTATATCCCTCATCCTTTTATATTCAGTAGAAAGAACAGTTTACTTTTTGAAGCATTGTCCTTGCCATTAATTATCCCAAAGAACGAAGTTCTATAGGGATATATTGAAGCCCTCCGTCCGTCCGTCAGTCAGTCAAGTCAGTCAGTCAGTCAGTCCATCCGTCTGTCCGGAAGATAACTCGAATACTAGTCGACAGATTTTCTTCATATTTGTTGGAAAGATGTATATAGGTGAATAGTTTTACGCAAAAAATGTTTTTTCAAGATGGCCGCCAGTTTAAAAATGGCGGGACTTTTTCGCAAAACTCTTATGTTTTTCATTTTAAACCAAAATAATTAATATTTTTATTTGAAATTTTGGTAGTGTATTAACAACATCTATTTATTTCACATACAATGTATATCCCGGGTTTTCACCCTGACCCCCAGGGGCCGTAAATGGGGGATTGGAAAAACAGGAATTTGTGTTAATTTTGAGATGTTTTTGAAGTATAGCTTTATTATACTCAAATGAAAGGCAGTTTAGAGTAGATTGCAAATATTGTAGCGTTTTTTTGATTCGGGCCTCAAAAAATTCAAAATGGCCGCCTTATGCGGGATTTCGCAATTATTTTCTGATCTCTTAAAAGTATGGCTATATTATACTCAAATTGAAGGAATTTCAGAGTAGATCACAAATATGGCATTGTTTTTCTGATTTGCGCCTCTGAAAATTCAAAATGGCTGACTAGAGCAGAAATTCGACATTACTTAAAGTCATCTTGGAAGTATGGTTACATGATACTACAATGATTTTAAATATTTATTGAAGGTAAGAGTAGATGGTAAATATTACATTGTGACTGTACAGATTGATGATTTATATAGTGTTCGTTGGGATTTGCTACTCCGTGGAGTTGCCATTTTCTAGTTTTTAAATGATCTATCTAGAAGTGTATGTTGTATGGAAAGTAGAGTCCAGGTGAGACCTTAATTTTATTGTGTTTAATTTCAACATCACAGGATACAGAGATAACAATACACACTGATCATACCGATTCATCTATTTTTTTCATTTCATATTGAAGATCTTTTTTATTCTGTATTAGCATGAATTTTTGACGTGTCGTTTTACAATCGTGTCAAGTGACGTGAAAAAGTTGTTCTGAAGTTTAAATGAGTTTTGCTGTGAAATCAGATGCCTTATTTATAAAACCTACGTTTGACCAAGAACTTGACGTAACGGATGCGTGACCACCTTTTTGTATTAAGGTTACTCACATGAAGGCCCGCGTCACTCGTATGACGACATACGAATTCCTTAAGATGTTCGTAAAATTTACCGTAATTTACGCGTCACCTCTAGACCATGTTCAACCAGTGCGTATAAACGAACTATCTTTAACATAAAAGTTTACTGATATAACTTTATGTATTCAAATGATTTACTATACAAGCGTTTAGGAAGTATGTAGACAATTACATATACAATATTTGCTATCAGTTTGTATCGATTCGTACGGTATCGCAATCCATTGCATTACTGATGCATGTCTAAATATTCTGACTGAGAAATGTCGTCTGCAGAATATTTGAATGACAGTAATTACTTCATTACCGTATATATTGTATCCTTTTAAGCAAATTCAATGTATAAGAATCCTTTTCTCGAATGTTTCTTTCACTGGACGTTTATTAAGAAACCATCGAAAAGAATGTCCATGTGCCTTTAAAAAGAGGGAAAACATTTTTTTCAAATAAACGCCCATGGGCCCATTCGTGCGAATTTTAGTTTGATGTATTTTAACATTATGCAAACAGGACTTCAAACATTGAAGAACCAAGGTGGATAATAGTGACTAATATGATGTAGCTACATTTACACTGCACCTGATTGTAATTAATTTCTGATTGTTTAACAAGTAAAAATACATCAAGTGTTTTGCTTTTTTAAATTGTCTAAATATTCTTAACAAATGTTTGGTCAGAAAACTATCAGTTGGTTCATTTTAATAATAAAAATTACACCCAACTCATTTGTAGCCCTTCTATTTCTTTTATATACATGTACTTGTACAATAGAAAGAAAAATGTAATTTTTGAAGAATTTTTGAATTTTGTATCTCCCTGTGTATGTTGCTAGTAAACAATGGAAATTAGAGTCATGGAAGTAGGGCATTGATTCCATGGTGTCGCATTTCGAAAAGATAACAATACTGACACATTTACTTGATATCCTTTTATTTTTCATAAAAGATATTCATTCAAATGTATTCTCTATTAGCATCATAGTATGGGTTTTACAATTCCACAA